ACTTATAGTTTCTATTTTCCTGAAGATTTGTTAGGACGTAGTTTTTTATCGACCCAATTGTCCGTTCGACCATTCCCGTCGCGCGATGGTCCTTAACCGGAGATTTTATGAGTTCAATACCTTCATAATTACAGAAATTCTGATTTTCATTCGAGAAAAACCCAGTTGCCTGATCCATATGTAATTTCCTTGTGTGCCCATGGGTATTTATGTACTTCCTTAGGAACTTTAATACATTTTTAGACTTGTTACTTGAACAGACATAAGCCGACGGCCAATTCGAAAAAGTATCTACTGCTACTAGTACATATTTCTTCTGACCCCTTACATAATTGACCGGACCCCAGAAATCTAATTGAATCAAATCATTGGGTTCCTTAGGCACATACGTGTCCCTCATATCACTCTTTGGAATATCTGGTTGAAGATTTTTACCTGCTTCTACGCAGCTTTTACAGTACTTCGCTGTAGCGGCACTGTTTCTGTGCATTAGTGGTATCCATACATCCTTCGCGGCTGCAAACATCTTATCGCGTCCGTGATGGTTAAAATGCAAACGATTGAGTACTGCTGACGACATATCCTTCGGTATGGCCAGCCGGCCATCCATCCACAGGCAGTTTTCGCGTACGGCAAAATCATTGTAATGTTGGGCGTAATTTTGCCCCAATCTTGTGATGATGTCCTTGGCTCGTGGGTTCTTATCTCGGATTGGATCGCGGTTCGTTTTCAGTATCGGGTCCTTTTCCAGATTGGCTTCTACTAATTTCAAACTCAGGATAATCGATTTTTTCTAAATACTTTACTGTCGGTAGGTACTACTGAGTAAATCCATTTATCATTCTGCACGAGTGGGTAAGATAATCCGGGAAACGGATGGGGAAATGAAATAATAGTATTTAACTTTTTCGAATTTGTTTGTTTTGGAACAACTTTTTCTGGCGGTATTAGTTCAATATCCGAGTCAGAACTTACACTAGTCGGTTGGTTTAATCGATTTAGAACAACATTAAGGCTTACATCTCCGGAGTGGGTTGAAGTATTAACAATAGCGGATGATCTTTGATGGCTTTTCTCGGGTGAATTGATCGTTGACATATTTTTTATACTTTTATTTTGAATTGTACAACTTGAATTTACGTACTGAGAACAACGTCTGATTTTCCTTCTTGGGTATTTGCATATTTCCGCCATTATGCAAATATCTCGATTCTGATTGGTTAACCGCCGGTTGCATGTAGACACGCCCTCTAGTGAGCGCGTGTGCTCATGGTGAATATTTGCTCAGGGTGAATATTCTTTTATTTCCATTGGATACAACTGTTTTCGTTATAGCGAAACATGACCGATCACTTCCGTCAAACAGATGTACAAGTTTTTTTTCAAACTTGAAGGGACTGGGACGTTTTATTGAGAGAAATCTGATGCTCCTTCTCGAGTTGGAACTTCCCGCGACTCACTGGACGACCCATTGGATGAAGTTTTCAAAGAATGCGCCGCTAAAAGACCTCGAATTGAGCGTGTGACTAGTGCAGGAAATGACTATTATTGACGAGTTGGAAAAGTTTTTATGTGACGAGTTGGAAAAGTTTTTATGTGAAGCTGACGTGGATAGCACAACTTTCAACTATTTTTCGCGCTATAAATCTTAGAAAAAACTGGGTTTAGTGGCTAGGGCTTTGCTGTGCATTCTCCCTTCCCCTGCCAATGCAGAACGTGGGTTCTCTAAAGCTGCGTTTTTGACGAAAAAGCAGAAAAATTGTCTCCTTATGGACTCAGTGAAAACTCGCTTAATTATGCATGAATAATTTATTGGATTTCTCCAATTAATTTTTCCTTCCAAATTTTTTTTTCTAAATTGAGTCACATATGCAATAAATTTTGAATGAAACAATAAATTAAAATGGACCGTCCAATTAATCGCAATTTTTCCAATAATTTTTTTTATTTGGTCATCACTGTATCGGTCTTTGAATAGATGTCGTCATCTGTGACGGAGAGCAAAACTTGTTGATATTATCCACTTGCAATTTGCAGGATTTATTTTTAATGTCAGTGTCGTCTGAGTCCAGGAGAATAGACGTGTCTGGTCTAGTCAGCGCCAAGAGGGCAAGACTGTAACTTCTACTGACTACACATGGAATGGTGTCAAGTACGGAAACTCAATCCATTTTGGTCACAAATCTTCTCCGACATAATCGATGAAATCGTAGCTTAAAGGCAGTGCCGCCACCATCGGTATATTGCTTAAGTTTCCTCGTCGAGGGGCAACGGATGAAATTTCGTCTTTTAGGTCTGACTGGCTGAAAAATTCGCCTGGAATGGTTAACATGTTAAAGTACTTCAGAGAGAGTTGATTACTTGGTTTGGGTGAGGGGGTGTCACCAATTTAACCGTAGCCGGTCCCATGACTCGTATTACGAAGAGCTTTCCTTCCGCCACTAAGCCGTCGCGTAAAGTAAAATCGATATAATTCCGGGTGGAGGGGGAATCGCTGACATAGTAGCTGGAAAATATTGGGGAGTAAACCGAGCCTTGACGAACTCTAGATAGGGTGCTGATCTGTCTACTGCTCAGGTAGTTACTTGGCCATCGCCTGATCGGATCGGGCAGTGGAGAGTTAGTTTATCGATAAGGGTGTGATGGTTCACGCATTTGTGAGCTTTTGACATATCAAGAACAATTGCTTGGGGGCCTTCTGTTAATCAAACTATTTTAAAAAAAGAATCGTCAAGGTAACTAAGGACGCTGTTGGTTGAGTGCAGGGGCAAAAGCCGTGTTGGTGTGGCTTGGGTTTTTGCTGCGCCTTGAGGAGTGCGACAACAGTTTTGATAACGAGGCTGATTCAGGAAACGGAGCAGTAGGCTTTCGATAGATTAGGGTCTTTTAAGGATTTGAAGAGGGGAAATATGGTGGTTGTTTTCCAAATAGATTGGATTAGCGAAGCGCGTAATCTGATGTTTATGACTTGAGTGAGGTAGTCATGGGCAGTTTAATTTAACATTTTTAAATGAATTACTGAGTCCACATGAACGAAAACTCGAAATGAACGCGCCAATTTTATGCAATTCTCCACTTCTTCAGCGTTAAACTGAGGCGCGCTTTCTAAGGAAAGGCGTTTAGCATCTCTTTACCTAAAAATTTTAAGAAGAAATTTAATGTGTCATAACGCGAGAGAATTGAACGTTGAAAGTGTTTGCAATTGAGATTGTGGTGAGGGACTTGAAACTGAAGAGTAGATTTGAGTCTGTAGGTCGTGAACCGCTTAAGGTGAGAACTTAACGCCACTACTTGCTTAACTTGGTTCTGTGGTCAGTTGAAGTCCAGAACTCGTGCCAAGTTTTCTCTTTGTTAGCATTGTTAATTTTGATATTTTTTATTGGAAGCAGTAGTGTCGATGGCGTAAGTTAATCCGGTAGTGTCGATGGGGTGAGTGAGTCTAGTTTGGACGCGTTGTTTGATTTAGTGTTTGGCTTCGTTTGGAAGAAGAGCTTTAATGATTTTGCGTCGGCTGCAAGAGATGTGCTTTGCTGAAGGATTGCCTCCATGCAGAGTTTCTCGCCTTGTAAGCATCGTTAGGGTCCTCTTTATAAAAGAGTATTTCATTTGCTTCAGTTGCGAAGTTGTCCAATCTGCTTTATGATTGTTTTGTTGGGATCAAGTTGTGTGGGAGTAGATTCGATTGAAATGAAGATGGGTAGAGGGGCTGTGTTTAGAGTAGTTTGTGTTGCCCAAGCAAGAGAGTAGTATGGGGTGATTGTTAGTGATCTTTAGTGATGTTTGTCTGGGAGTCTAATGGGAGTTTGGAAGTTGAGTTCATAGGAGAAAAATAGGCTATCACAAGGAAGTGTCCTCCGACTTTCTAAGTAGAGAGCAAGCTCAGGTACATGTACACCGGTGCCCGGGAAATTCCATTGCAAAAACCAAAAACAATAATTCCATTGCAAAAATTCCATTGCAGAAACCGCAGACAATGCCCTTACAAAAATCAAAGAAAATTGTTTTCAGAGAAAACGGGCGCAGCAAATTATCAAAAAAAATTTCAACAACCTGTTTTGTCGATAAAACCTATGATATCAGATTTGGCAGGACAGTTATCGAGAAAAGTCCAAAAAATGGTCAATAAAACAGATGTTTGATATTTCCGAGAATCATAGCCTTTCAGTTATGAGAAATCTAAATTTAGCCGCTTATGCAGAAAAATTTCATTCAACCTGTAATTTCGACTGAACGCACAAAAAACAGTTATGGCAGGATAGTTCTCGGGAAAAGTCGAACATATTCAAAAACAGTTAAAAAACTCAAACTTTTCACTTTTCCAAGAGCCATGATTTTTAGTGTTAAAAAATTGAGGCATAGTCAGGTAAGCAAATAAGCTTCCCACGACCCGCTCTTTGAATTGAACTCAACGTCCCAAATATGGGGGGGGGGGTATTTTTCGGTAATATCCATAAAAATTTTTCGAAAAAGACAACTAAAAATCGAAAAATTGAGTTTCAGAGAACAAAAATTTTTTAGGTTAAGAAACTTGCCACTAATGCAAGGCTGCTTCATACTACTCGTAGTTCGTTGAACTTGAACCCACAACCCTCTAGGAGAGTTTTTGAGAAAAAAGACCCATTTTTTTCAGTGATTTAATTTTGCAAAGAGTCTCAAAAAAAATAAAAAACCCAATACCATACATTCACAAAACCTATTTTATCAAACACGATTTCTAGTCAAATATGCCAAGCAAGACATTTGAAATTCAAATTAGCAACTTAACATAATTTACAAAGCCGAAGCAAGGCCGACAATCTCCGAGCAGAAACCAGTTGAGTCGCTAAAAAAACTGATTTTGTAAAACACTTTACAACTTTACAGTCCCTGTACACTTGTACAACTGATTGAGCAAGTGATTTAACTAATTTTTGTGAACCAGTTGTTAACCCGAAAAAATTCTACATTCCGATTTGATAACGCATGCTAACTAATCGCAAGCGTAAACAAAAAGAACTTACTTTTATATCTCGCTCCAACTCAAGTTTCAGCCATTCGAACTCGGAATATCGGCGCCTGACTGATGATTCTTTCAATTTGAAAATTGGCAAGCTGGTCTATAAAATATATCTTCATTTAACCTTTTAGTCCTGCAAAAATTTGACACAAGAAACAAAGCACTCACGCGGACTTTCACTTCGTAGTCCGTATATCTCTTTGCGCCAATTCCATGCGTTTCAGGGTTGACAACGTCCACTTCCAAAAAGTTTTCGGGCGGACAAAAAGCTTCATCGACTGTTTGATGCCTTGATGGGAGTCGACCTGTAGCGTTCATTGCAATCTAAAACCACAACTCCGGTGGTAATTTATCTGATAATTGGAAGATCAAAAGTACCATAGTTGCCGAGATTACAGTCAGGAGTCCCTTTATCACATATTCCAGTTTAAATCTTAGGAATTTTCTAGATATGAACATTCTAGGAAGTTTCCTAGAAAGGTCAATTAAAATGGGCCCTTCCGTCATGCGACGGTACGTGCACAAGTTGGATATAAATTATTAAATAGTTATCAAATATTAAATAGCTTCAGGTTATATGATTTGCGGGGTAGCCGTGGTGACCCCTTTTTCATGGTTGTGATTATTGGAGCGAGCTCATTACATCTGGCACTAGAAGATTGGGCATCAGTAGGAGGAAACGAGGAACTGCAAGAAGACGTCATCCATTACAGGGGTGTAACGTTTCATCCCAAATCGAAATCGAATAAATGTGACATTCGACCAGAATGGCCAAAATGCAATCTCTGCGGAATTTGAATTTTTAGCAGCGAGCCTTCCGGATTGGTGATTGTTAGGAATTAAGGACGTTATTTGAACGATTGAGCAAAACGTGAAGGTTAAAGGAGTCGGAAATTGCTAATTTTTAAATTTTCGAAGTGATGACGTAACATTTCTGAGAAACGTCAGAAACGGCCATTTTGGCAAAGAAGTCAAAGAAAAACACAACAACATTAGTTGCGCGGACGATAAGTACGAAAATTGTGAGAAAAAGCAATAGCAGATTGCAGGAATAGCAGTGAACACTCCGAGTTGCAACTATTGTGTCGCTACAATAGTTGCAAGGCTGTTGCAGACAACGGTGAAGGGTGGAGGACAGCCTTCCGGATTAAGAAGAAATCAAGATTAGCGAGCTTGATTCAGTGGATTCAAGAATCCGGAAGGGTTTCGGGACTGAAACTTTTAGCCTTTTATTTAAACTTTTAGCTTCTTGTCATGTCCTGAATTGAATTTAATTAAAAACTAGGTTCCTTTTGATAAGGATGAGAAGCTAGGAGTTAGGGGAAATGGTTGATCCATCTTCGATGGAGATGATGATTTTTATCTACTGAACAAAAACAATAGTAATATAATAAATAGTAGTAGCCCTGTTTTTAGGAGTGACCTCGTGGTCTGGGGATACTGAGACCCAGCCATGAGCTCACTATTTCTGCATGTAATCTAGTTAATTTGAGTGTTTTGACCGAGGCCGAAAGTAGTAACGTTTTGGTCGACCCGACGTTGGAAAAGACCACCGAAAATACTGGCTTGGTAGAGACAGTGAAAAGCATAAAAAGCTCTGTTTAGATGTTAGCCAGTCGTCTTAGGACTTAGTTTTATTTTCCGTCGATCTGTATCTTCCGGGCGAATGTTACATACATGTTTTTATGGCGCTCCTGGGTGTTATTCTTTTTTAACATCATGACCGGCAGAACCGTTAACGAGCACTCCGCGCCGAGCGGATGCTCAAATTAACGCCCTTAATAGGCCTAAACCGCCGGGGCGGAAGGGTAGTTCGGAACGCGGAAGCATGTATATTTGCGCTCAATTCGGAAGGGTCGTGGGAGAAGACTGATCCGGCAAGCAGTACAAGGAGCAACAAGAAGAGGCCCAACGACAACAACAATCGACATTTGGGTATCGTTAACAAGTTTTGTATCCCTTTTGGTACAAAAATTAAGATAGTAATCTGTGGGGGGCTCGACAGTGCTGCACTGTAGTGACCCTTCACCGAACTGCGAATATCCGAGTTAAGCACCTTAATTCGGATATTAAACAAACCCGGAGGGGTATAGTATTACTAATATTATTAATTATATAGCCTATATTAATAGTCTTATATCGTTTTTCAGTCAAAAACAACAAAAAACAGACCGGTTTTTAGGGTCAAAATAGCGATATTTTGATCCCCCCACAAGTCGCGATTTTTGAGATATCGATATTTTTTGAAACGGAAGTTAGTGTGTTACATCGTGCCTGCACTACCACAATAGGTAGAACCGGTTAAGTTAAGTTCGAAAGTGGTTGGAACTATTTTGGTACCGAAAACCGAAATTTCGTGATTTTTGAGAAAACGAAACAATATAAATTTAGAAAATTTTTTGAAATTTTTGAGTTACGACAGTAAAAATAATTGTTCGGACAACGTCCACTAGTGAATCTACAAGTTTTAAAACCCGCTACCCGAAAGCCTTCCGGGTTGCAGAGAAATCGAACTTAACGTGTTTGATTTGGTGGATTCATCAATCCGGAGGGGTACAGGTAGCATAGTTTTTCGCAAATTTCTTCTACAAAAGCGTTTTAGATCGGGTCTTTTGCATTGAACTAGAAGAGTATAGGCCTTCTGAGCTCGGGTCAATAATTTTTAGGACGAAAGGACCAGATTTGCGGAAAAAGTCAGGCGGAACCTATAAGAGAGAAAATTTTTGAGTTTAGAAGAAAGACATTTTGGTTAATAACTTTGGAACTACTGGGCATATCGAGTTGATCTTGGTACCAATAGATCAGAAATTAGCTGAGCTTACTGATAAGGACAAAAGTTGTTCGGAAAAGTAAGCGTGAAAATTTTTTGAGATTGTTTTTAGCAAATTCACCAATTAGGAAGGGTAGACCCTTCACGTTTTATAAATTTCTTTTAGAAAAGCCCTTATACCCCTACTAAAAGGTGATAGCGGTTGAATAAAGTAATTTTAGGCTGTTCTAGACGAAAAGGGAAGGCTAAAGGCACAGCAAAACCTTAATCGAGCCGAAGTTAGGCGAGCGATAAGACCCTTCACCGTTAGTGTGAATTGTCAAATAAGAGGCTTAACTTCAATCCGGAAGGGTCTAGGAAAGTAGCACATACCCTTCCTAGTTAATTGAAAGAGCAAAATTGCATCGGAGAACGTATCTGGAGGGGTATAGGTTGAAAGAAGGTAAACTCCGAAAAGCTACTTTTACAAAACCGGAGGGCTCCCAATCCGGAGGGGTCAAAGATTTTTCAAATTAGGAGGGGTCCGAATCCGGAGGGGTCTTATAGTTGCTAATTCGGAGGGGTCCAAATCCGGAGGGGTCTTGTGTTAACTAACTCGGAGGGGTCCCAATCCGGAAGGGTCTAGATTTTGTTGATCCGGAAGGGTCCTATTTGTGCCAATCCGGAGGGGTATTATTTTATTAAAGGACTTAGGTAGGCGAAAGAAAGACTAAAGTGAGAGGTATTAGGTTATTAGCACACAGGCTAGGTATCAGTGACTGCACTGGTAACTTGCCTTTCAATAAGAACCAGACCAAAACAAAGCAGGTCCGAACTCGGATATTCGCGACACTAAGTCTATATTAAAAAGAGCGTGACTCATTGGTGTGGATTGCAACATAATACGTTTTTGTGAAAAGTGACTGCCCTGAGGGTTTTAGTAGGTCTAGCTCGGGCAGTCCGAAGGCAGATAGGTAACACAGTACTCGGTGGGTGCAATAGAAGCCCACTTGAGAGAATTACTGCCTTCAAAGTTTTGTCTGTTTGGTGCAGCACCGAGCAGGGAAAGCTTTTTCTTTAAAAGACAAGTTCGACTATTGTACTACGACAGACTAAAAGTACACTACACATACGTTTTTTCATAGAGGCATTAATATTCTGTCATTATATATTATTTTTGTTTTTGATTTTAATTCAACGTAAACTGTGCTTGATTGGGTAGTGAGTACACTATCTTTTAAATTGACTGATAACATCATATTGTGCTAGTTTTCAAATCTTACGACCGATAGTCAGTTAGCGTGAATAAATTTTTTACAAACTGTACTCTGATAACATACAGGGATTCGTGGTCACTATTTAATAGAATCTTGTGAAATTTATTGTGTTGTGTCATTATTATTGTTAATAAAACTACAAGGTCTCCAGCAATCGAGTTAAGTGTATAGGCATTAAAAAGTGTCAAAGAGAGAATGAGTCTAGACAAGTCAAGGATACCAAAACGAGGTAATATTTCTAGGAAATTCATACCTGAAAAGCAAAGAAAAACGATGACCGATCCTTTTGTGGATTGGATCAAGCGATCCCGGTCCGACAAAGGGGAGACGGTTTCAGGCAGAATGGTTGAAACGAGAAGTCAGAAGACCTCAGAAGAGCAAAAAGAACTGTTAGAAGTGGAGGTCAATACGGACCATACCATGAACGACAACCAGGAAGAAAATGGACTGGAAGGGAGAGGCAGAAGGCTGGCGAGTGAATCTACTCCGGTAGAACAAGGCCATGATTTTGCCACTTCCACCGGGACGCTGGATCGAGAAGAGATGTCGGAACTGTCCGACATCTCAACTGAAGTAGCAGCAACTAGAAGATCTCCGACAGACAACACTATGATGGCAGGCGGAACTGGGAAACAAACAACGTCATCATCGTTCTCAGAAAGAATGAAGAACACCTTCGGAAACATCTTTCCATTCACCATGGGAGGAGGCGCAGGAAACGAAGTTGAATCCCAGGAGGAAGATGATGAACAGGAGCAAGGGGACTTTGGATCTCAGCTCAGCCTCAACAGTTCGATCCAGGAGAACGAGGCATACGTCGGAAGAGAGACTGGAACCATGGACAAATTTGGTGTAGTGACAACGATAAGCAAAGAGGCAAACACACCGGGCCAGTCAAGAGACTTCGCGATTATGATAAATTCAGAGCTGCAAGCTGGAGAGAGTAGAACCAGAGGGCTAGGCAACGCGTTAGCGGATCCTGAAATAGATAATGAAAAGACGTCGAGACAGAGAGTCAAGGCCAGGATCTCGACCAGCACGAAGCTACCTGGGACCGACAGGGTTGCACCGCCGCTAGTAACGCCACTCGTGAATTACGGGGCAGCACTAGAAGAAACCGTAAACAGCATAGTGGACAGTTTAGGAGAACAAAACGAGCAGATGTCAATAAGGATGAGTGAACTAGAAAGGGCAGTTCACATTGAAAGAGAGAGTCTGCGGGAAGAAATAAACCGCAACAGACAAGAAGTTGGCAGGAGCGAAAAACGCTTGAAAGAAAGAACGGACGAACATATGGCGAA